CGTGGAGCATTATTCATAGCTTAACTGGCGACCGTCTATCGTCAAACCAATCGGGTCAAGATGTAACTGATATCTGACTGCAGCAGTATATTTTTGTTTCGTGTTTATTCCCTGATGATAACCGATGCCAATTCGATCGAAACAGTTGGAATTCTTGCAAATAAAATTTTCTTGTTTCTCGTGTTGCAAACCATCGAAACACAAGACCTATCACCTAAAGCAACCTACGGCAGGGTATTAATATGAGCCTTCGAAATTTTACTTGTCACGACAACTTTGATGCAGCTTATCCGCGTAATTTGATCGACCGTAAATTTTGCAGTACAGTTCCTGGTTCTGCTGTTTGAGCTAGGTTTTGAAAACTTCTGCTTCACGCGCACCTTCGGAAATTTATAGGTGGCTTGTAATACAATTACGTGGTTGACGTTTTCGGTCCAATGCTGATTGCAAATGCTTCGGTCAATCAGGGAACCAAATTAATTGCTTGCGTGTTGAGTCAAAAACCGGTGTACTTGTTCGATGACAATTCCTACACTTATATTTGTAACTAATCTCAGCTCATTTCTTTGCGTAACAGAATTCAGGCATTTGGCACCGAAGCTTGACGAAAACAACTTTACTGAAGCTACTATTTGTAAAAATTCGTAATCTTCCATATGTAACTCTAATTTAACACAGTAACTTAATACATTAAGTAACTGTAATTTAATCACCTATGGCAATCTGTTCTTTTCTGAGAAAGTATATGCAAGAGGGTTCATCCCTGAAAAGTGCGTAACAAGCCGCCAAACATTTCCGATAGTGGTCGGTACATCTTCAGTGGTATTAGAGCAAGCAATACACGCACAAGCTTCTCAACATACAAGAGTTAAAACGACTGTTCTTTTGACACATTTTGTTGTTCAATTTCCCACTGCAAAAAGCAAGTTGATTAGCAGTCAAACGCATAACTCAACAGAGCTATAGAGAGCTTCATAACATCACTGCACTGTATCCTGATTCTAGAAGGCTAGAGGATTATTTCAGAAAGTCACGCCTCCATGGTATCTTAGAAGCAGCAGTAGGGCTACAAATCCCA